CTGTTGATGATTTCGTCGGATCCGTTGGTCGCCAACTTTCGCCAACCACCGAAACGTAAATCAAAGAGTATCGACCCACAAGTTCTATCCTTGCTCAAATGTAGCTTCGTCACTGAGGAAGATACATCAATGGAAGTTGAGAATCCCTCAGGTTCAGAGGATCCTGAGATCCCGATGGATTGCGACAACCACGGAGATCCGAATTCACCGCTCCCATCCGGATCTTCCGGGGAAAGTTCCAGTGATTGCGACCTCTAATATCCAGAAAAGTGCTCGCGAGAATACCATCGTTCACTCATCAGTGTCAGTGTCTTGTATACCCTGATTTCTGCCGATTCCATTTAGCGAATAGGCTATTAAAGTTTTTCTCAAGCTTCTCCTTCTCTTCTGAGTCACTTATGATCGGGAAATCTCATAAAATAATTTTGTCCACCTAAAAGTGGCTTTGGCGCCACTGTGCGACGGGTGATATCAATTCTGCTCCTACAACATGGAGAGACCGTTGACATATGGAGCGTCATCGAGCCTCGCGGCGAAGTGCGCATGCCATTTTATACGGCGACAACAAACACTCAAACCAAAGTCTGACATATCAAATCGATGCCGATATCGCTGAGCAATTCCATCCCCTTCGATCTCGAGAAGGCGAAATGACTACAATCGTCAAATCTTCGCGCGGGAAGGACAAATTTTACCATGAAGTGTAGGGCACTCGTATATTTTCGATAGGTTGCCGCCTGAAAACCCTCCTCCATCTTCCAGTCTGACCCGTACAGATCATGCAGTCAAGCATGGAGGATGCGTGACACCTATTCTGGAAAGTGCCAGTCTTGATAGCTGCATGATAGCCTCGCCCAATGCCCTACCGTCTTGATCGAGGGATCACGTTCCCCGATCCGATGCTCCAACAATGATCCTGCATTGGCTTCACCTACGATATGTTCGCGTGGGCGTGAACAAAACGGGCCTCCCGTGCATTCTGGAGCCTGTCGGTCGGGGCACGTGTTCGAGTTCGAGTCAAGCGACGTAGTTCCCCCGTCGACTCCCTCGCGATCTTTTCTGAGTCTTCAACCCCCTCCGGCAGCAAGAATTCGTAGTTTCAGTCGGACTGGGATCTAATTGCCGCGCTTGCCGAGATGGGAAAACCGGGAGCACTCAGCTCATCATAGCGGAGCACATTCACTCATCATAAACTATCATGGTTCCTAGCGACCGAGGGTCTCGCGGCGAAACGGTACATTCTGTGATACCTTCCAGGTCCTGCGGCGAAAGCTTTCACGGTAAAAGTGGTCGCGGCGAAACGGCCGCGGCGAAATGAGGCGCTCCGATGCCGGACCCTACGACTACGACTCGGATCCGTTATATTATGGGCGAGGTTTTCCGATCCGTCTGTCATACATGCTGAATGAGACCTTCGTTTCCGATTTCCTCTGGCTGCGAACCCCATCATGAGCTGACGTAGCCCATCATGTATACAATTATCCGGCGAATCTATCTATCTATCTATCTATCTATATATATAAAAACGTATGTCTGTCTGTTTGTCTGTCTGTCTGTTTGTCTGGTGTCACCTATAGACTCGAAAACGGCTGAAGCGATCGTCGTGAAAATTTAGGAGCGTGTTCTGGGCGATCCAGCGGTGGTTATAGGGGGGTCAGTTCTCCGATGCGATGAGTCCTTCTACCTTAAAAAAATTATTTGAGTGCTCCCCCACGAAAATGCGAAAACTCGGAGAAAAATTGAAAAATCCGAAATACGAAAAATTACCCAAACGCCTGAACCGATCGCCGCGAAAATTCGGGGGTGGGTTCCCGGGAGCTTCAGGAAGGTCATCGGAAGGTCGTCGTTCTCATGTGATGAGTCCTCCCACCATGAAAAAATTATTCGAGTTGTCCTCTCACCGAGAATCAAAAATTTCATCAAGGGAAAGACGGGAATTCGCAGGATTCTTTATCGGCTGGACCGATCGCCAGGGAGCTCCTAAGAAGGCTATCGGGAATTGACGTCATCATTGGCCTCTGTCTTTCTACTAATGAATCTTGCCGAAAATTGCTGTAGCCTGAAAGCGGGGAAACGGGAAAGCGGGGAAACGGGAAAGCGGGGAAACGGGAAAGCGGGGAAACGGGAAAGCGGGGAAACGGGAAAGCGGGGAAACGGGAAAGCGGGGAAACGGACGGGAACGGGGAAACGGACGGGAACGGGAAAGGACGGAGGGAAACGGGGAAGACGGGGAAACGGGAAAGGACGGGGAAACGGGAAAGCGGGAGCGCTAGTTATCTATAAAACCAGGGAATTGACATTGAATCCACGATTGGTCGATACTTTCATGGGAAGCTCAGTAGGACGCCATTTATTCAAGGTTCCGCCTTCCTTCACTGATCCTAGTCCTCTGCCGAAGTTTCGACTATACCTCTTGGGAATCATTTCTTTCTCTTCCTTGGAAAGGATTCCGAGATGCTGAACCGAGCCGTACGGCGTAGCTCTACGCCAAAAATGCCGTCGCGGAGCTGCGCGACGAATTGCCGTGATTTTCGCTCATCTCAGAAGACGATATCCTCCCGAAGCGATGGTGCACCGAGCTGATGATGCAACGCAATTCCCTCGTGATAGCGGCTGACTCCTCTCCCCCTCAGACTGGGGCGGCCTTCGTCGATTTTCACGATTGCCCGCTAGATTATCGGAAAGGCAGCTTAACGCCTATGATGCACAGAATTTTCTCCCTCCGAATAAAATTTCTGGTCAGTATTTAGGGAAAGGCCCGACGATTGGAAGACGTTTCCGAGCTGTTTCATGCCACTCTCGGACGTAAATTAATTTTCGCGGCAAAATGTCGCCAAAATCGCGTCAAGTCACGGTAAAAAATCATATATTCCGCGGGAGACGGTAATATACGATCGAAATCGCATTCAGTCGCGAGACTTTCCCCAGAATCGCGGAAAAAGTTTCCCTTCGGAACGAGCGCACATCGATCGGAGCAAATTGTGATTCGGCCATATCTCCCGACTGGTGGCCGACATCGGGCGACATCAAGGTTTTGCCGAAGCCTAATGAGGATCAGAGCTCGTCCAGTTGCGACGGTTCTCCTTTTTTTCGAAAAAATCGAGCACGTCTCCCCAGCTTTCTCCACGAAGATAAGGATTAATGTGATATCGACCCAAGAAACGGGGAAAATCGCGGAAACCCCCAAAAATCGCGCCTCCCGTGAAATACGCCATTGCCGTGGTTGGGCGGAGACATACAGCCTCAAGAGGTTCTCCATGAAAAAAATATCTGGGGATGTGCAAGTTCGAATGATATGTTTCGCGCAGGAGAACTTCGCGGTCCCTTCTGGATTAGATCAGTATATGACTTAAGCCGCCATTTTTCTACGCCCCGTTCTGTACGCTCGGGAAAGACGATGCTCGTGGATTCAAACTGAAAGCCCTGGTTGGTTCGGCGGGGACGCTTCAGCTCGCAATCATTCGATGGCTCGTCATGGGGGCCACAGCATTACTTCCTCTGTGAAGTTTTACGCTCTGATCACCCGGTCGTGAATAAGAGGATACAGGCACAATCTGGAAGTTCGCCCATTTGCTGATGAGATCATAACACGTTTTGCTTCATCGTTTCCAATACTGCAGTCATCTTTCGCCTCTAGGATTGTCGGGTGCTTTCCATGATTGAGGAAAACGAATGAATTGCGCGCTCTTCCCGCTTCCTACGACTCATCAGGGCCGTTCTGAGACCCTGGAACCAGTATCGGTTGCATTGAATTTACAGTATCTACCAGCAGATCCCCGACCGACGAGAGTCAGTGGATGCTGCATTTTGATTATTCGTCTGCCCCTGATGAGGGTGCTCTCCTCGTTCAGAGCAGTCGCAATCCAGAATTTCGAATTGCTGCACCTCGAATGCAATGATAGGCAAAGCGTTTCCTGGTCGAAATAACGTCAGAATTTCTTTGCTCTACAGGGAATCGATCCTGTATGCATCAAATGTTCAAAGGATCCAGAACAGGTTAACTTCGACTCCAGAACTCCGAAGCGAGCATCCGCCGCTGAGCGCGCTTGGTTTGTCACCGGATCCTTAGGTGTTCGGTTTCCTGAATGCGGACCAGCGAAAACTGATCTGGGGTCCGCACACTGGAGCTGCTGGGCTCTTGCCGTGGAGCAAAAGCCCGTGTTCATTATGAAACGGAAACTATTGGGCAATCTATACGCAGTATATCCGACTATATCCGACTTTCCTAGGGCCCTTCCGTTTGCGAATCGGCGCGGATGAATGTTGATCATTAATTGTCAGTCGCCCATCTGGACTGAAATTCTTCTTTCACGAGTTGTGTCCGCGGAAAAAACCCGACTCGACGAATCGCGACTGGCGGAGATCAGTCATGTCGATCGCGTAAATGTGTCTTGGGAGCACAGAAAATCGGCGATCTCGCGAGAAATGAGTACATACCCATGTACCCCATTTCACGTCCGATAGCTGCTCGAACACTCATGTTTCGCGAGTTTCCATCGCTTCTTGAGATCCGAGATATCTTCCGGTTGAAATCCAGATTTCGAGTTCGTCCGATGAATCGATGTCAGATGACTTGCGGGGCAGCCGAGAGTCGAAGGGATCAAAGAGACAGCATGGAGCTCTCTTGCGGCTGCGGATATCAGTTTATTCATTTATTCATAAATTCAATTCCCTAAAGTTAGAGTCGGTATGGAATAGGATGCATGTTTTCGAGTTTCGCCGCAGCTTCTTCTCTCAATTTATCTTCTCCTTGCTCGGAGAGAGTCGGTTTCTTCCGCGGTGATTGGAGAGCCAACGAATCCAGAGCTGTTGTCGGAGCTTCGAATAATAGGACCAGAACCCAAGCCCCCAGGACGTTGAACGTCGCATCAGCGACGAATTCGCGGAGCTGTAAAGGGATCGGGAGGCCTTATAGAAGTTCTCGATCATACGACGCCATGCGAGTGCGGCGATTCGCTCGATTGTACGAGGCGGGCGTGGCGCAGATTCAGCGAGAATATTCAGGCATCTCGGCCATCATTCACCACGCTGATGGCATGGAGCGTTAATCTGATCGTAGTCAGTGCCAAGGAGCAGTAGTCGGAGGTTCTCTCGATCTTTACCCTTCCAGGAGATTGATCTATTGTGAGGGCGACTCTCCGGTGCTCCACAGATTCTTCGCCGAAACCCTGACGCCTCCTTTCAACTCTATCCCAGGGAGTCTCTACAGCCCGTTCGAAGCTCGAGCTCTCGTCGCTCGAGCGGGTGCAGAGCTTCGCTCTCGGATCCCCTCCTTTTATCTTCGGAATGGAGACAATCATTGGAATAGAGACTGGAATTCCGTTATTAACTCACATGCTGGTAATGAGAGGCGGAATACGGATTCCGTGTGGAGAACATGGAAAGCCACAGGGCCGGCCACTGCATCAGGTAAAAGCTCAAGGATAATCGACTGAGGACGATGAAATTCGGACGGCTCAGAAACCAGCGGATTAAGCCTAGAAGGATGAGAGTTCACAGAATTATGTTTTGAAATTGGATTAGATAATCCCCCATTACCATCGGGGCGGGGACCGGATAGTTCAGCTTCTCTCGAGCCCTAGGATCTCCCGATATTGACTCGACATCCCACTGACGTCCCCATATTTGAAACATCAAAAGCAACTCACGAGCTCTCCCGCATGAGCACATGTAGATCAACCAGATAAGGCTCGCAGCCCACAACGGTCTGAATATAGCTGCGTATAGTACCGACTCCGATACGGAGGCGTAACCCCGATCATTCCAGATGCAGGACGCTAAGAAGGCAAGCGTCCTCGATTATTATTTATGAAACAGCCTCCCGTTCACGGGGTCTGAGAATTGTCCGAAGATTCATTATCCGTCACGAGGAACCTACGGTACATTTTTTCTCAGCCCGTCGAGATCTTGAATACATAGGGCCACTCGACACTCAACCTGGTCGCATTCATGAATATCGACATCACTCACCCATTCCGAAAGCGATTATGACAGCACTGTATAAGATCCAACCGGCTCTGTACACGGTTTTCCCGAGATCGATATCTCTATATTTGTCGATGAGATATCCACCGAGGACACCGACGGCTGCCGGGCTCAGGTGGGCGAGGCTATGGTTGTGCAGGTGGGATAGCAATTGCAATGACTGAAGGAAACTCATCGCGTTACTTGCCGAACACAAGCGAGAGGATTCCGATCTTGATGAGGGTTTGAAACACACACACTTCCATGTTTTTCGAACTGGTGCTTACCGCTATTGCTTGGTTCGGTAGCAGCAAAAATATCGGAGACGCGCCATAGTAATACGTCAGACTCGCAGCGTACACCATCGAGCCCCCGACAAGATATAGAAGGATTCGGATGCCCTTGCCTGGCTCCCGGATTAGCAAACAGATGGGTAGAATGAGTATGCAAACAATCTGCATATCTGCTGCGGTGTACCTGGGACGAGGTGGAGCGGAATTATCATGCGAGTTCTTTTTTCAGGATCTCGGCTTTCATTACGATCGGCTCTCACGTACCACTGGTTCTCGACGCAGATGTCTTGAATTGTCCACAAATTGTTTATGAAAATGGGATACGACCACCATCTCGCATTACAAAAGTCCTCAAGGTACGGATACATATAGTCGATGCCTGGTCCCGAAGTAATGAGAGGCAGAACATAGAATACGGCCATGGCTCCCATGCCCGTAACAATGTACCTGACTGCACGACGCAGGATCACTTTCAACGCGAGCTTCAATGCAGGCATCTGGAGGAGGGAGGTCGTTGAGTTCCCCACAACTGCTCGCAATCCGTTTACGTACATTGGATATATTTCGCCCGGAAAATACTTGCATTATTTCGCTTCCGCTCTTGGGTGACAAGCCTGTACAATGAAAAGCCGAGAAGTGTGAAGAATGTCTCCAAGGCCAATACGAACTGATTCAATATCACGCCGGATGGGGATTTGAACATCCAGAGGAGGGTCAGGATGCCATCTGGAAAGCGAGGGGAGCAGTGAGTTTCTGAGGCAGCTTTTATTAGAAGGAGACCGAGAGAAGCGTTCGATGTGACCTACCCACATTGCCCCAGTCTTTCAGGCAAACATGGGCGTAGAGAATCCACAGTGCGCTCAGGGCTCGAATCCCGTGCAAACAATCTAATCTCCTCGATTCGGGCGTCAGGGTGGTATTGGTGAACCTCAGGTAGTTTGCGCGGGCCGAAAAACATCGAGCGACTCGAACGAGACCTTGAGGACCGAATTAGCCATTCTTAGATCGGGAATCGGATTACTCGGATTCGGAGGCGAGGGAGAGGATAAGATGGCATCAGAAAATACAGTTCCGCTGAATGAATTGTCTGCCCGATTTTTCATCCGACGATGTCATATTGAAGGACGGTCGGGAGAATGATTTCGAGCTAGGAGGACCTTTGCTCAGTATCTCAGACCGCTAGATGCTATCTGACCCGTTGATCGCATTATCAATGAGCACTGATGTTCTCGCTCTACGATACCTGCCTCGTGTATCGTTGCCGCAGAAAATGTCAACCACGGTGCCCAGTATTAGCAGGCCAGTCAAGATTCCGATTACGACTCTGCAATGGAAGGGAGTGGGCATTCTTCAGAAAATCCATGATTCCTTCCCAGGATTCGCTAAGAGTATCGACACCTATAGCACCGACTTCCCTACTCAGGTTATATCGATGACGAACAAAGATCGCATTCATTCCTGTCGCCGATCCCTCTCTACTCGACTCTCATATGATATATCGATTTGGGGCACGATGTTCCCCAATCAGGTCACAAGTTAGGAGAGTATTTGGAATGAGGATTCCGGAGCTACCCACCCACATATTACGGTGCCGGTGCTCGCTGGTCGTTCTTTGATTTGATCCCTGCATCCTAGAACATCCGCGCTAATTCCGTATTTCCCGACGACTGGAAGCAAGAATATCGGGCGTAGTTGTGAGCGAGACCTGGGATTATTCTTGATTAAGCTCACTAAGGGAATGACTGGCTTTCCTATGCGGCATCGAGTCTCCATCTAAGAGAATAAGAGTCGGGACTCACATTTCTTTGCTAGATGAGAAATGATAGAGGAATCGCAAGTTGATGGCAGACATATTCCCACGCGGTATCCAATAGGAGATCTCTCTACGAGGTCCAGGACATAAGACACATTCCCTCCGCCGAAGAGTCCCTTGGGGCAAATAATTTTCTCGCTTTACGAGTTTTCTCCTTCGTATAGGGTTTCCGCCAGTCTCCAGCTTTCCCCGCCCCCAACCGGCATCGTCAGGCGTCTCGACGGAGCAAGTTGGAGAGATTCGAATCATACGGAAGAGAGCGTATTGCTTTCCGGCTATCGGCAAACAGAAAGCGCCTCGTGTTCGTTCATTTCGGTATGGATCGGAATCAGGCACTAATCGAACATACGACGGCCCGAGTCAACTCGGAGGATAGACGGAAGGCTTCCGGAAAGAGCGGATCGAGCTGATTCGCATCGAGGAAGTCGTCCTGTGTCTTCGACTCAGTGGCGCACCGAGCCCATTCGGCGACTAGTACGGAAATGCGACCCCTCTGTCTCGAAGCTTTCCTCTTCAGAGACTTCACCACTTGGACACGACGGGGGTAATCCGCGCCGTGAGAAAGAGAGAGAGCGTATTCCCCACGGAGGACCTGCACGGTATTCGAGCGTTCCGAAGCAGAAGACTCGGGCGGGGCTGACTGGCTTCGAGAGGATTCCCGTGAGCGCCTCCTTGGGGTTGGCGCCGAAGGCACGTGCCCTGGTTCCCCCGATCTCTCTCCCACCAGACATGCCACTGCCTCGACTCTTCGGTAATCCTGAGAAAATTTTCTCCATCTCCGACTAAGATCTAGGAAATCCACGGAAGCTCTCCTCTGACCTGTCTTGGAGCAAAGTTGGCAGCGCAGGGCCGGACCTTATCAGAGAGAGGAGAGCTCCCCGCCGAGAACAATTCTTGAGTCATCGCTGTAGACTGCAACTCCAGCCTTCCGTAAAATCGGAATAGTTCGATTCGAGAAGCGTCAACACTTGCCAAAAATGAGGATAGTTCGGAGGCTCGCGGGAGGCTTCACTGAAGATTCTGTTATGGGACCGAATCCAGGGAGGAAGCGTGTTTCCGCGCCTCCTCTGTCGAACTGTTCCGAGGGTCAGTTCACACCTCGAGCGTGTTTTCCAACCGAGAACTCGATACTGCTTTCATCTTGAGAGGCCCCGCTCCGTGATCATCTGATCCGTAACAAGCGTACGAATTATGCACATATACTGTTTGCGGAAAAAGGCTTCCCATCGGACCCAGGACGCCGGCACGTGACTCGGCCGTCGCGGAGCATGACCTCACTCCATGGACGGGATCTAATTGAACGAGGAAGCAATAGTCGGTCTTCCCCGGAAAGCTCGGAGAGGCAGAATTTTCACTAGGCTCACCCAAATTCTCGGGTCCTGCTGGATGAAGCTGGGGAGAGTCCTGTGTAAGAGCGGTTGTCGTCTCATCAGGATTGAAGCTGTGCAGTATTGACCTGCGAAGGCGACCTGCGAGGAAAAAACCAATAATAATGATTTTAGCCGAGCTCAGGCGAGTCATAGAGAGCAGACATCCGCATGCTATAATTTCGTGTCGATGTCGATAGACAGCGGGGTTCGTGGAGCATCGATCATAAATACTGTGCTACTTGTCAGAGAATGAACAGCATTAAACGGCACGGAAACGAGGTGTGACTGGAGGCAGATAGGCACCTGTGGACTGTTAGGGGCCTCTTGAGAGAGTCTACATGAGCGGTCACCACGGGAAGATTGACCAGCCGATTGATGTCGCGATAATTTCACGGGGGAATACGGGACTGCTTCTCTACGGCGTACGGATGCCATAGATGCAGGAAGATTCCACTTCTGTCCGGCGCCAACGACTCAGAGCTCTTCGAGAGGTTTCTCAAATCGAAATCCTCAGCATCAGCGAGAAAGTGCTGCCATAATAGCTCTGGATATAATATACCGACTTATCGGTGAAAGACCCCAGGTTTGCCCGAATTTCCCCTAGTATCCAAGAAAGAAGCGTCGGGGGCACTGATGCCCGGCGGAGTAGAGGAAGGGGGGGGGGGAAATCGTACCGTCATGAGGGGACGATGCATGATAACTTCACATGGTCCCTGATATGAAGATCCCATAGCAGACTAAATGAGGAAATATTTTCGCGGTGTTCGCTGTTATCTATTTTCCCACCTTCTTTGGATCATTTTTCTCGGGTGCTCGAATCCGTAGACACTGGTCGTAGCTGCCCAATGAAGCGCCACGGCCATCGAGCATGCCGGGTAGGATACCGCCAGAAGAGTCCAAGACTGCGAAAAGGCAAAGTTTTCTGTAAAATCTCTTACCCCGAGTTTCGGGAGGAACCGTGGAGAATCCTCGAGAATCTTTCGCTCTAATTACATCGAGCAAGACGAAGAAGGATGCTTTGAACCAATGGCTTTGTTTTCCACGAAATCGTTTCTTTCTGCGTCGCGGCACCGCGAATCGGGGAATGAGTCATGCTAATCCCGACACTCACATCTCATTGCCCATACTTTTCCGTCGTTCAGCCCTGAGGCGATCCTTAGAAAACTCTGAAGACACTCTTGCGGAATCTCGTCATCGTAGAGAATCTCCTGGGCGTATGGAAGGATCTGTCTCCGCATCTGCTTAGTCAAGTTGGCAAGGACAGGCTCCAGATCTTCATTCCATGTCGAATAATCAATTTCCTGGCGCAGTATGTCGAAAATAGATCGGGAGCAGCCGGCGTACTTTGCCCATAGCGAGACCAGCACTATTGATTTGAGCAACAGCATCTAACTGATCCGTGGGCGCGGGATTATCCGACGCCGTTGTTGTCGAATGGTCCGAGCTCCGAACAGGGTCGGGGGATCGGATGCTCGGGAATGGGATCCTCCCGTGCGTTCACAAAGATTACCTAGCACGTTGCACACGGAACAAAATCACGGCGGTGATCTCAGGGCGGGATTGGAGCGACTCCGAAAATTCCTCCACAACCTCCCTTACTTTATACCACTCTTTGATTCTGATTTCCTCAAGCTGATGTCTCGCTGTCCTTCAATGATGTTCCCTCACCGGGGGGAGAGTACATTCCGTGATACCTTTTCAACTTGGGAGGTTCTCCGTCACTCCTTGAGGAGGCGGACGCAAGAGCGATATCCTTCTTTCCCTTCCCCCCCAATGGAAAGAGGGGTTCCGGACCTCCGGTACACCCCATTGCGCCGCGACCATTCCACCGTGACCTCATTCCGCGAATCATAACAATGAATGAGGAGTAAATGTTTGCTGCGAACGACGCACAGTGGCGCCAAAGCCACTTTCAGGTGGACAAAATCAAAGATACCAGGATCGACTCCGGAACAGGCGGGAAAGACGCGCGAGTGGTCGGCGTTCAGGGAGCCATAGGCATGAGCGTCAACTGAGCACTCACTGATTAATGCGCGGCTATCGAAGTCATCTCCCAATCAGTGGTATCATACGGAATTTCTTTTCCCATCTGCTACTTTCGCGAAATGAATGGCTCTAACCGACTCCGATTAGCGGTATCATTGCTTTGACTTCAAGTTCCGTCCGAGTTTCAAGTTTCCAGGCCATTCAGACCCATTCGCTACTCTCTCATGTCCCCGAATCGGAAAATCTTTATAATGCATCGAAACCATCAAAATTTGTGGATATTGACGAGGGCGGGAAAGCTTGTATTCCACATTATTCCACCCCGAATCTCTCCGCCAAGGAAGCCTCAGGTCCGCTCATATTTATAAAAAAAATTCAGAGGTAGCAGCAGAGCCACTACCGTGTAGAGGACGTGAAACGTCTTCGGAATGGCCATTCGTAAGACTCGAGCATCATCATTATCCCTTTAAACTCAGCTCGTGGTTTTAGGTCTCATTATCACTGGTGAAGTCGAACTCTTCACCGAAGTTGGGAAAATATCTTCTTCTGAGTGGAAAATGTCTTCTTCTGAGTGGAAAATATCTTCTTCTGAGTTTTGAAAGAGGTGGATGCGGAATTGCGTTGCTAGCCATTGGGCCGTTACGCGCGCTCTGGAAATTTGAAATCGCGCTCTCCCAGGAGCAGCCGTGATCACGGGCGAATAGGGCGCATAGGGTGTCATTCTTGCCTCCAGGAGTTGATCTGTCCGTGTGGGAATTCCGTAGGAAGTATATGAAATTGATGTGCCGTAAATTTGCTATCTAAAGACACCAACCGGGTGTCGATCGGTGTAGGAGGCACGGAGCTGCAGGGCGTAGAAAATGGACAAGTTTCATCACACATTCGGTGAAATACTAGGCCAACCTTTCTAAAGACGTTTCACGTCAAGAATTGAGACCCGGTTCGACCCGGTTACCGAATATTTCATTCTTTGTTCAAAACGCGGGAATCCGAGGGAATCTGCGGAAATCCCAGCATATCCATCGATTAATTTATTTTTTCGGGTGTCGGTGTACTTCTCCCGAGATTCTGGAA